AAAAACTCAATTAGTTGTCTTCATTAGTTACTATCTCTTCTTCTCATTAACTAATGGCATGGGTCTCTTTCTGGGCCACCCAACACGTTATTTAACATTATTCTGTCTCAGATTCATACAAGGCTTCAAAAGGTAGACAGGAGCTGTGGACAGGAACGGTGGACAGGAGCTGTGGACAGAATACATAGCTCAGCTACTCTCAGGGTTGGTTCCAGATGGTTCTATGTTGACACAAGTGTCAAAAGGGCAGATGGGCAGGGGCAGAGGGAAGATACCTGCAGTTTTGGTTATCCATTTTCTATTGTTGCTTTAAGAAATCATCACAGCCTATTGCTGGTGGCTCCCCCCTGTCATCCTAGCTACTCTGGAGGCTCAGATCTGTGGATCAAGGTTTGAGGCCAGCCTGAGCCAGGGAAGTTCATGAGACTCTTATCTGCAAGGAACCACCAAAATAAATAAATAAATAAACAAGGGCAGATAGAGTGTTGTGGCTCAAGTGGTAGAGTGCCAGCCTTGGGCAGAAGAGCTCAGGGAAGTGCCCAGGCCCTGAGTTCAAGCCCCACAATCGACAAAGAAAAAAAAGAAAAAAGATCATACACTGGGCCTCACTCTGAGTCTGGGAAGAACATTACCATTTCATGAGATCCTGATGGTTTCCTGGGGTCAGGGGTCAGAAGCATCACAAAAGCTGCCCGGGTGTCCTCAGAGATTCACAGTGAACTTCCTCAGGCCACAGGAAGTATCTAGTCCTGGGTGCTGTTTAACTGGGTTTCTCAAATTTGATATTTTAACATTTTGGGGTGAGTGCGTGTGTGTGTGTGTGTGTGTGTGTGTGTGTGAGTGAGTGAGTGCCAGTCCTCTGTCTTGAACTCAGGGTCTGGGCACTGTTCTCAACTTTTGTGCTAAAGGCTGGTGCTCTACCACTTGAGCCACAGCTCCACTTCTGGCCTTTTGATGGTTCATTGGAGATAAGGACTTTCCTGCTGAGCTTCTCACCATGATCCTCCGATCTCAGCCTCTTGAGTGGCTGGGATGAAGATACAGACTACGGGGCAGTTCTTGTTCTCGCTGGGCCAGCCTGGACTGAAGAAGAGCACAGGTTAGCAAATCCATCCCTGGGGCCGGCCAGGACCGCCTTGCTGTCCATCGTGTCCCCTGTGGGTTTTCTTCATGTTCTCTGTGCTGGTGCACTGTGGCTGCCAGCTGTCCCCAGTGTTCCCAGCTCTAGGCCCCCTTGCTGGGGACAGGGCTTGGACGTGTTTGTCCAGGGCATGTGTCCTGCTTTCTTGGCTGGTGACTTTTCTGACACAATAGCTTGGGCACACCCTGCTGCCTTCCATTCTCTGCAAACACGCATTCCAGCAGCAGGCCTCCACAAAGGCAGCTCAGTGCCCGGCCAGTCTCAGACAGCAGGACTTAACTGGGCCTTTTCAGGATCAATGTGAGCTGGCCCCACCCTCAGGGACAAGAGGACAGGGGACAGACAGCCCCCCCCCCCAGCCCTGTGAAGGACAAGCAGCCCTTTACTAGTGAGTTCCATCAGCCCAGGGAAGGATTCTAAGAGGCCTTGTCTTGCCTTACATTGGGGCTTATTGGCTGGTTTGTGGCTGTTTGAACTGCACCGCATCAGGGAACATCCTAGTACTTGAGGCACAAAAGCCACAGGCCTTGAATGACCACAGGAGGGCCACTAAATTGTGCTCAACATCTTGGCACAATTGAACAATGCTTAGTTAGGTCAAAACTTGGTCTATCAGCCTCACAAAAGACCCAAGTGGATTTCCCATGTCTGTCTTTTTTTTCCCCTTCCTTCCTTTTCTCTCTCTCTGTTCCCCTCTCACCCCTTTCTCTTTGATGCCAGTCCTGGGGCTTGAACTCAGGGCCTGGGTGCTGTCCTTGAAGTTCTTTGGTTCAAGGCTGGTGCTCTACCACTTGAGCCACACCTCCACTTCCAACTTTTCTTGGTGGTTCATTGGAGATTAGAGTTTCACGGACTTTCCTGCCTGAGCTGGCTTCCAACCACGATCCTCAGATCTCAGCCTCCTGAGTAGCTAGGATGACAGGTGTGAGCCACCAGCACCTGGCTCTATTCAGAGCTATTTTTATTTAATGTAACAAATTAGGCAAGTTAGGTAAATAGTTAATATTCCGGAAGGATACAAATTCTCAAAAAAATTCCCAAGAAGAAATAGAAATCTAAATAGGTCTGAAATATATAGAGGTTGAATTAGTAATTAAAAATCTTCCTACAGTGCCACCCCAGTGCCAGCTTGTGTCAATAGTAAATTTTACCAGGCCTTCAGAAAATTTCAATAACACCATGCTAAATAAACATGTTCAGGAGGAAGGATGGGCTACGTTCAGCTTGACAGTGCTAGTGCAGACTCAAACCCAGATAAAGGGGGCACAGGACAAGGAGCCAAGGAAAATCTCTTCCCAGGAGTGTAGCAGCATCCTCTAAAACCAAAAACGTTCCAGAAAGTGAAATGAAAAACACAATGAAAAAAATCACTAAAGATACACAGAAATATCCACTGTCAGAAAGCCCCACATTCTTATACACTGGGCAAATTAAAATTTTTAATTTTTTTGTGCTTGTACTGGGACTTGAACTTGGGTCCTTTTAGCCTTTTATTATGATTGAATTAAAAAAAAAGTTACATACCTGTCATCCCAGAGACTCAGGAAGCTGAGATCTGAGGATCACAGTTGAAAGCCAGCCTGGGCAGGAAAAGTCCAGGAGACTCTTATCTCCAAGGAACTACCAACAAAACCCAAAGTGGAGCTGTGGCTCAAGTGGTAGATTGGCAACCTTGAACGAAAAAAGCTCACGCAATTTGATGCTAGTACACTAGACACATAGATGTAAATATGACAATAAAATCCCTATGTGCAATTAATTTATGCTAATCCAGAAGGAACAAAAGAAAGCGACTCAGACTCACGTAACTGTGCCTTGCCTACGGCTATCATCGGAAAAGCATTTACTAGCATTCACTGATAATTATTACACGTGAGGTTGGAAATTAGCAATTTTCTCCTGTCATTCCTTCAGCATTTATGACTTGCATGAAAAACCTTTTGTTTCCATTGTTCACTATGTGGGGCATCCCCAGGGAGTAATGATTTATATAATGAATCATGGTCAATAGTGGTCATTATTGATTTTTGCTTATACATTTATGTATATTTGGTGTATATGCTGGTCCTGAGGCTTGAACTCAGGGCCTGGGTGCTGTCTTTGAGCTTTTTCACCCAAGGCTGGTGCTCTACCAGTTGAACCACAGCTCCACTTCTGTTTTCTGGTGGTTCATTGGAGATCAGAATCTCATGGACTTTCCTGCCCCGGCTGGCTTTGAACAGCCAATCCCCAGATCTCAGCCTCCTGAGTAGTTGGGATGACAGGCATGAGACACTAGTGCCTGGCCCAAGGATATTTTAATCATGATCCCTGGTGATCTCACCCTAGCTTTCCCTGTCCCCTTCTCCACCCCCACCCTACCCCCAGCCCCTTTGGCTGGGTATTTTGAAAGTGATGCTGAGCACTCTGGAGATGAAGCTGAATGCAAGCGCAAGTTGAACTGGAAACGGGTTTAGTGAGATGTTATTTATGAAGCTCGAATCAGCTCCTTAGAGACTTAGGTTGTTGGTAGCTTGCCCCAGGGAGAGAAAGACTTTCTGGTACAAGAAGAAGTCACAATTGCCTGTTTATCTCCTTGCTCTTTCTGGATGTGAAGCTGTGGGATAGATAAATGGGTTAAAGTAGATTGCCAGCAACTGTGAAAGTGGAAGGAAGAAACCTGTTGAAATTGTTCTGGGAAGGGGAGAAAGAGTGCTAGAAGGGATGGGACTGCAATATATTGATAATCTGTGTGGAAATGTACAATGAAACACCTGTAATACTAATACAAGCTAACATATATGCATATACATTATAGACATACAGAAAGAGGCACTCTGTATTGCAGGTATGTATGTATATATGTACCTATGTATCTATGTATCTATCTGGCATTGCCTCTAACTCAGTCCTTGGTGAGAATTTGTTTTTCTCAATAAGCATTGCTGGGGAATACAGTCAGACCCCTTGTCTCATTAGCACGCACTTTCCTTTGGGGCGGTGAGGAGGTGTGCCAGGACATCATAATTTGCCACATCAAGGAATGGCGTTTCAGATTTGAAAAAGCTGCCTGGCTCCTGACATAGTTTTAATGAAAGGTCTGTGGTTCACAGAGGCCAAGTTGTTTGTAAAAATGTGTAAAAGTAGCCGGGTGTCAGTGGCTCACACCTGTCATCCTAGTTACACAGGAGGCTGAGATCTGGAGGATCATGTCTGGAGTCCTCGCTAAGATCTGGAGGCTGGAGGCTGGAGGCCCGGCAAGGGGCAGCAAAATCGGCTGGACACAGCCCCTGTGGATAAAGCCGGGTCGCCATTCCGATTTTAAGGAGAAGTCTAGAACCAGGGGGCCGCAGTCCCGCTAGGTCCTGCACAGGAAGCTGGTGCAAAGTGGGCCAGGGCCTGGCTCGGCGACAGAGCACACGTCGGAGACAGAGGGTCTGCACGCGAACGAGCGGGTGTGAACTGTGAACCGTGTGAACAGGCGTGACAGGTGTGATCCCAGCTCGAGTGTCGGGGAGGCCGGGGCCTGCGGGGCACCCCGGATCCCCCATCCTGCTTGCACTTATCTCAGTCCGCACCTTCCCAGGGATCGAACTCCGGGCCTCGAATTTTGGGCCCTCAGGCTGCACTTTCCCTGATTTTCTTTCCTTTCCCCTCGAGGCTGGCGCTGCACCGCTTGAACCACAGCTCCATTCCGGGCTTTGTGCTGGTTAGCTGGAACTCGGGAGAACCCCGCAGACTGCGCAGCCTGGGCTCTGATACGGGTTCCGGGGGCGATGGTGGCGGCCCCCGGCCGCGCCTAGGCTCCTAGAAGGCTGGAACCAAGCCTAGCACGCGCCTGGCTGCCTGGCCACCCTATGCAAATTACCGCCTGTCAATCATGCCTCTCAACCTATCAGAGGCCCCCACGGAGGAGTTTAGCCAATCAGAGGCGCCCAGGGGCGGCCCCACCCCCGGCCTGGGCCCCTTCATTCGCCTCAGCGGCCGGCAGGAGGCCCCGCCGACTCGGGGTTCGGCCTTGGGTATCCCCCGCCGCCCCCGCTAGGGTGCTCACGATCCTGCAGGGCAGAGGCAGGGGTGCAGGCCCGCGGGGAGGGGGCACGCGCCTGCGTGTGCTGTGTGTGCGCGTGCACGACCCGCCTCGGGGGGTGTGAACCCCAAATCCATCCCTGGCCCGGCCACCTGTGCGGTCCCCAGGCGCTGCCGCGCCAGCCGGGTTCCTCCCAGATTGCTCCGGACGCCAACCAACCGACTGAGGTAAACCTGCCTGAGGTAAACCTGCCGCGGGAGGGAGGCGGCCCGACCCTTGACCCCAACCCCCACGCGCGGGCACTGAGCTGGGGTGAGTGCCCGGCGTCGGGCCTGCGGGGGGGGGGGGGGGTGCGGCTGGGACCCCGGGCTCGCTGTTGATCTCTGCGGGTTTTGGGGGTCGAAGGGATCCCGGGGGCTTGTTGTGGTTCTCTGCGGGTTTCGGGGGCGGGGGCCCGGGCTGGGCCCTGGGGATCCCCCCCTTCTCCCGGGTCCTGCACGGGGCTGGCATGGCAGGTGAAGCCCGTGAGGATGCGCGCAAGCGGAGGGGGCGGGACAGTGCGCGAGGGGGACGGCGGTGGTGACTTGCGTGGGGGGGGCGGGCAGTGCGCATGCGCGGAAGGGGGGGGAAAACGGCGGCGGCGGCGCGCGCGGGGGGAGCACGGCGGGGCGTGCGAGGGCGTGCGCGCGTGCACGGGGGCGTGCGTCCGCCCAAGCCAGCGCGGGCCTGCGAGCGGAGCCCCAGGTGCGGCGCGGGCACCGGCAGAGCCGTCTGCACAAGCCGGGGTAGGAGGAGGAGGTAGGAGGAGGAGGAAGGAGAGGAGGAAGGAGAGGAGAAAGGAGGAAAAGGAGGAAGGAAAAAGGAAGGAGGAAAAGGATGAAGGAGAGGAGGAGGAGGAGGCCCCGCCATGGTCCGGGTGCCCCCTACCTGTCAGCTTTGGCCGCATCAGCTGGCCCATTCCCAGTGTGAGTGACTGCCGTGCTCGCCCGCGTGTGCCCGTGTGCACGCCTCCCCCCCGCCCGCCCCCCCCCCACCAGCCCCCTTCAGGTCGCCCGTCCCGGCGCTGCCTGGCGCCCCCCCTTACACACACACACACACTCGGGGTGTGGGGCTCCTCCTCCACTGCCACCCACTCGGGATCTCTCCCGGAGCGCGCTCCCCTCCCCGCCCCCCTCCTGACCCTCTTTCTCTCTCTCACTCTCTCCCCCCCCCCCAGGAAGGGGCGGCTGCGCCATGCTCCCTTGCCGCCTGGGGAACACAGCCGGTGCCCTGCTGCTCCACCCCTAGCTTCCGCTGCTGAGCCTCTGTAAGGAAGAGGAGGGTCAGGAAGAAGAGCCAGGCACAGAGCCCCACCGACAGTAGGAGCCCCACCAAGCGGGCCGCTGGAGGGGGAAACCGGGGCCACCCACCGACTGACCGACTGGACTGCCCACCTGCCAGCCGGCCCACCGCCCATGCTGGGGCTGCCCCACAGCGCCCTTGGACCCCAGGGCCAGATTTCCATGCAAGCTCCCTGGCTCCCTCCCAGGTGGATATGACAGGCAGCACCCCAGGCCTGAGCCACCCAACAATGCTGGCCGCTGCCCTGACCGGCCTGGCTACAGGTTCGGCTCTTACCCACCCAGGTGAGCCCCGCACCGGCTGTGCCTCCCCCCACCCCACCACCCCGCTCCTCACAGGGGGCAAGGGGCTCCCTGCACCCCTGTCCCCTTTCCGGACCACACACACACACAAAAGGGGTCTCTACTATTCATTCCCTTCAAGTGATTCTTTATTCATTTATTTTTGGGTCTTTCCCCCCAAAAAATGGATCTGAAAAATAATGCTTTTTTGGGGGGGGGAAGACTTCTTACAAAGAAAGCGGCCTCTTTCCCCTCCATCATCAAGCAGGTTTTATTGGGGGATCCTGGCAGGGGGCAGGTGGGAGGATGGGTAGGCCTCTGAGTGAATGATGATTTTCTAGTTAAATGCCATTTTCTTTGCCCAGAGCTCCAGCTATCTATTCTTTTTTCTTTTCTTTTCTTTTTTTTGGGGGGGGTCCGGTCGTGGGGCCTGAACTCTGGGCCTGGGCACTGTCCCTCAGCTTTTTAAGCTCAAGGCTAGCGCTCTAACACTTGAGCCAAAGCGCCACTTCTGGCTTTTTTCTTTTTGCTTATGTGGTGCTGGGAAATGGAACCCAGGGCCTCATGCATGCAAGGCAAGCGCTCTACCACTGAGCCTCCTCCCCAGTCCCCATGTGCTCCATCTATCTAGATTCCACCCCCCACACTTCTCCCCTTGTGCCTAATGTCTCCACCCCCACCCCCACGCCCCTATCTCCTGGCTCCATCTTTCCACCCCATCCTAATGATCTTCTCCACCCTTACATTAAAAAATCAGGAGAGAGGATTACAGCGAGGGTCACTGCGGCCATCCCGAGGGCAGACCGCTAGTCCCGTGCTGCCTCCCGTCCCTGGAGGCCAGGTCGCCCAGGGGCCAAGGCTGGCTGGAGAGGCAGGATTGCCAGGTTCCACCCCCCCCCCCAGGGGGTCGCTGAGGGAGACCTTAAAATCCTGAGCTGGGCAAGGAGGGACTGTGTCTGTAATCTGCTTTTTCATTTGGATTGGGGGGGGGGAGATTTCTTTATTTCTTTATGTTTTTCAATCATCCTCCACGCCATGTATTCTCTCTGAGCTGTAAATTTCTCCTGTGTCTACACATCTATTTGTACCCACACATTCCTCCCCCCTCCCCCTTCCCTCCCTTTTTTGGGGGGGCAAACTGCTGGAGCTCCGTGGTTGCAAATGGCTCTCTCCCTGAGTTCAAAATGCAGGGCGTGTGGGAAGGGAGTCCACACGTGAGAGAGCTTTTGTGCTGAACAAAGGGATGGTACTGACCCCGCACGTACATACGTGTGTGTGTGTGTGTGTATGTCTGTCTTACCAGCTCTGAAAATCACATGGATACTTCCATTTCCCCCACCTTCCCCTCTCATCCATTTTCACAATATGGCAAAATGTCGGTTAGGCAGCATCTTAATGTGTGTGTGCATGTGTGTGTGGGGGGGGGGGGGGGAGGAGAGCTGAAGAAAGACTGATTCTTCTATGAGCCACTTGGGCAAGCCAAGGTAACTCCTGAGGGAAAAACAAGATGGGATCACTACCCAGCTGGGGGGTGGCAACAGCTGGAGCTTCCGATCTTCCAGGGCCCAGCTTCCTGCCTCTCAACAGACAGCTGCAAACTCGGAGAATAGGTACACACCAGCCTGAGCTTGGGATCAAGGTCTGGAAGGAATCTAAAGCAGAATCATCAATAATGCTTTCCCGATATCTCATCCCTTTATTTATGTGTGTTACTTATTTTCCCATCTCTGGTCTTAAAAAAACGAAGCAGCAATGCTTTGGAACCATTGAGATGGAGAGTCAGCGGAAGGCGCTTGTCCCTCCGCCCTCTGGTAGATGATTATTAAAAAAAAAAAAAAAAGAATTGGCCAGAAAGGGTGGATGGATGTCAGCCAGATGCCCAGTCATCTCCTCTTATTTCAGAGTGTGTGTGAGACTCCAGTCTGTGCCCGAGGTGTCTCAGACTGAGAGGTTCGAGTCCCACCGCATCCACACATCCTCGAGGTGCTTGCTCACTTTGGAGGTCCCTCAGCTGGCTTCTCCACCTGCTTGCTCCAGGAAGGGGGTGGGCTGGGAGAACTCTTCATCTTTCTTCAGAATAGCTCAGAGGCAGGGGTGGGGTGGGCCATGATTGCAGGTGGAGTTGGCAGGTGAGTACCTTTGGGTCTCCCAGTGATTGGCGTGGAGTGGGTTGGGGCGATGGCAGGGTCTCAGCCCCCCTCCCTCCCCACTCACCCAGTGGGACAAAGCCAGGTTTCCAGTTGTCATGTGTGGACCCCAGGACCCACCAGCAATGGGGAGGGAGGGGGTGACAGAAGGTGGGTGCAGAGGAAGAGAAGAGAAAGGGCGTGAGGAGGCTGTGGAGGGGAAGGACCCGAGTGGGGGTGAGGGGTTCCAACTGGCCAAGGCCTCTGGGGGAGTGGCCACAGGTGGGCCTTTGTGGGGTGGGGGGGACCCCCAAGGCGAGGTGTCGGTGTGAGGGGGGAGCCTTTGTTCTCCTCTCCTCCTGGCTGCATGAATTGCCAGTTGGGTTGGCTTTTGTCTCCTCCTGCCCCCTCCCCCGTGGCATGCATGACAAGGTTGCTGGTGGGAGCAAGAGCAGCTTTAATAGCAACAGCAATGAGAAGCACGTGTGGTATGCAATTAAGACAAGAAATTAATAGGAAACCAAGACTTCCCAGGAAGGGTCAGTGGTGCTGCGAAGCGAGGAGGCCCAGCCCCCCTGGGGGCCGTGTTTCTGGGGTGCCTGGCTGGGGTCCCTGCATGGGGATGGTGGCCCATGGGCTCCGGCCTGCCTCCTCTTCTCACTCATTGGCCTTGGCTCTAGGAAGCCTGTCTTGTCTGAGAGTCTGCCTCTGCTACTGGGTGATTTTTTTCTTAGGGGTGATGCAGCAGGCAGAGGAGTAAGTGAGGATAAATGGCAGGATAGGGAAGGGAGGAGAAAAATCCCTCTCGAAAAATCACCCCCTCTGCACACCAGTTGCTTTTGGGGGGGCTTGAACTCTGGGCCTGGGCGCTGTCACTGAGCGCTTGAGCTCAAGGTGAGTGCTCTACCACTTGAACCACAGCACCACTACCTCCAACCTTTTCCCAGTAATTTACTGGAGACAAGAGACTCAGACTTTCCCACCTGGGCTGGCTTTGAACCTCGATCCTCAGATCTCAGTAGCTTGGATGACAGGTGTGAGCTGCTGGTGCCTGGCTTCTTTCTCCTCCTTCTTTTATTTTAGTCTGGTTGAGAAGAGCGGCTCCTACTGGAGGCGGAGGGAACTGTAGGGCCTTGCATCTAGAAAGATGGCAGCAGATTCTTCCCTGTCCTCTTGGCTTTTGGCCTCATGGCCCCTATGGGTAGGGCCTGGTGCAGGGGAGGCTGGGTGGGGAACAGCACCGGGGCTGAAATCAGCAGATGGAGGAAGTGATCTTGGGCAGGGAGAAGCAGGCTGAGTGGATCTGGCTCTCAGCATGTTTTTTACATCATAAGACATCTTTCCAGATCCTTCCCATCTCTGCTGAATTTGAGGATGGGGCGGGAGAGGACAGGGAAGATGATGATGGCATTTTATGTTTCGCTGTTCAAGAATCAACTGACAATGACATCTGTGCTCCCCTCTGTGGGCTGACATCCCTTCAGTTGTCTGAGGCAGGGTGTGAGGAAGGGGCAGGGAGAACTGGCCTTGTGACTGTGTGTGGTTGGGCGTGGTGGTTCCAAGCTAGTGTGCTTCTCTTTCCTTTTTCAGTTTTGAACTTGAACTTGGTCCCTGACCCTATTGGCTGGCACTCTATCAACGGAGACACGCCTCTGTGGCTATGTGTGGTTGGGCATGGTGGTTCCAAGCTAGTGTGCTTTTCTTTCCTTTTTCCGTTTTGAACTTGAACTTGGTCCCTGAACCTATTGGCTGGCACTCTATCAACGGAGACGCGCCTCCTTCCCTCCCTGCATTTCCTCTTTTGAACTACAAAGATGGAGGTTGTCCCAAGGGGGTGGGGTGTGGATGGTCTTGGCCAGGCACGGCTCTTCTGTTTTGTTTTGTTTTTCAGCCTCATCCTCCAAGCTTCCCTGACAATTCTAGAAAGTTCTTCCTCACAGTTGACTCCCATTTTCCCTTCTCTGCCACTGGGTGTGCACAGCCCCATCCTCGTGGAGTCCCTCCACCCCCCTCCCCCACCCTCTCTGTAAATAGAGATCAAAAGGGGAGTTTATGGGTCTAATGAATTGTTCACATTTTATTAAAGTGGATCTCCTCTTTCAACCGCAGGGGATTCTCCAGAGACAGGAGATTAGTGGTGGGATTGATGGCCTCTTCCAGGATGCCGGGGCTGGGCCAGCAGCAGGCAGTCCAGAGAGGGGTGGGCTTCAGGGCCTGCCCAGGCCCTGGCGGTGGCACAAAACCCATTGGGTGCCTCAGACCCGGGGGGCAGGGATGGGAGAGTGGTGGTGTGAGCTGGAAGGGCGCGCTCGTGGTTGGATGTCCATGCTCCTCCCAGGTTAGTGGCCTTGTGGCCTTTCTCTGGGCCTTCTCGAAGCTACCGGCAGCTGCTCAGGATTTCAGGTGTACTTGGTGCCCCGAAATTCTCTTCACGCATCCAGCTGGAGAACGGGAAGTGTGTGAACTTCTCCAGGGCGGGGAGAGAGATTTCAATTCAGCACTTGTATTTAACATTGTTGAGTGACTAGTAGCACCTAATGAAATACACACGTGTGGACTAAGTGAATGAATGAATGAGTTAATGAAGTTGGGGGCAGGGGTTGTCTGGTCTGGTGGATTAGAGGAAACCGGAAACGTCCAGCTCTGACCTGCTAGAAAGATGTCCACTGCCGGCTTCTCATTTAAGAGATGGGGGAAAGTGAGGCCCAGGGTCTCCAGGTTGATTTGCCTCAGGGCTGGCGGCTCCTCAGTACCCATGTCCAGTGGGTCTTTCTTTTAATGGGTGGTTTGCTTTCTTATTTTTTCTTTGGGTCCCCCCCCTTTGTAATTGATCTTATCTGATATCTTGGCATCTCTTCTCTTTCACATTGTCTTCTT